GCCATCTCTGAAAAAATCTCCAACAGGCTGGGGCACTGCCAGCATTTTGGGAGAAAAGGAAACAAAAGCTAATGGCTGGAGATGTGTGAGGGGGTTGGCATGGAGCTCAGGGAAAGGTGCTGGGCACTGCCCAGGCTCCCCAGGGAATGGTCCCAAGGCTGCCACAGCTCCAGGAGCGTCTGGACCCCACTCTCAGGGTTGTTGGGGTCTCTTGGTTAACACCAGGAGCTGCACTGAGGGTCCTTGGGGATCCCTGCTAACTCAGGATAGCCCAGGAGTCTGAGAAGCCCCCAGGGTTGCAGTGGGAAGGGTCCCTGGGGTCTCTGTGGCTCCTGTGTGACCTGGGAGCACAGGAACATCCAGCTCCAGAGGGATCCTGCAGCACAGGGATGAGGAAATCTTTTACCACCTGCTTTTACCCTCTCTCAAAACATGGAGAGCTTTGGGAGCAACTGATGTGACCAATACAAGACTCAGGCCAGTGTTACTATGAATTATGAGCAAGGTGTAATTTCCATTTATAGCCAAACCCCTTTTTGAGAGGAGAGGGGGGTGACCCTAGCCCTGCCTCTGACTGACTCTGTGCTTCTGGGGCTGCCTCAGGAGCTCTCTCTGAGCCAGCTCAGTGCCTTGCAGGCTCTCTCTGCTTCCCTGGGCCTCTGAGGAAGCCTGGATGTCAGCCTGGGGGCTTGGCAGTGCTGCCTTGAGCAAGGGGATAAACAAACTCCAATCAAGCTGAGAATATGGGACCACAGGGGTGGCTTAGAGGCCTTTTCACATCCCTGTTCCTGTCACATGGATAAAAAGGAACAGTTGACACAAAGGCCCCCAGGGCACAGCAGTGCTGCACTAGGTAGCAGTATATGCAGGGATGCTGCTCCCCATTTTCCTGGAGCTCACATCCCTGGAAAGGGGGGTCAGCCCCAAGCCAGGGGCTCCCACAGCTGTCCCTGCATCCCCCCAGGCTCAGAGAGGCCAATTTACAAGCTCCTGTTTTGGAAAGCTGCTGGTGACTCTTCAACCCTTTGTGGTAACCTGTATCAACAAGCACAGAAAAAGAGAAGGTGGAAGGTCCAAGCACCAAAGGGCCTCGAGCAGAGCCTGGAGATGAACTCATGGTGACACTCTGGACCTTGGCCTCAGCCATTCTGGCAAAACCAAACCCCTGAATTTCTCTTCACCTGTCTGTTCCAGATTGCAATGCAAGTTGTTTTCCATTACCATCTGTATGGCAGATGATCTTTGTCAAGTGGGCAGTTTGCCTTATCTCTCTCTTTGAGTGATCACAATCACTCCTCCCTCAGGAGGGGACATTGCTGATAACAGCTATTGAATGTCCCTGCATGGCCGATAAGAACTACAGCATCCCATTGGGAGATGTGAGCCCAGAGGGAGGAGCCAAGCATTCCTGCCTGGATATAATCTGGAGATTCTGGAACACCAGCACAGCTTCTGCACTGGATTCCCCAGAGGAACAGCAGCTGCCTCTGCCACTGGATCCTCAGAGGAAGAGACTGCACCTTTCTCCAGGATCCCTGCTCCAGCAGAACCAGCCCTGACACTCCAGGAGGGCTGAGCCACAATTCCAATGGGACTGCTGCCAACAGCCTGACCCACAGGGTGTCAGGTTGGGTTCTGGCTCTGTCAGTGTTGGTTCAGTTTACTGCATTGTTTATTTTATGCTTTTATTTTTCTTCCCTATTAAAGAACTGTTATTTCCTGCTCCCATATTTTTTTGCCTGAGAGCCCGTTAATTTAAAATTTACAGCAATTCAGAGGGATGGGGAGGGTTTGCATTCTCCATTTCAGGGGAGGCTCCTGCCTTCCTTAGCAGACTCCTGTCCTTCCAAACCAAGACACTGTGCCAAGGGAATGAGTCCTGCCCTTGCCCCCATCCACTCCCTGCTCATCTCTGCCTTGGTCCTCCTGGGCACTGACCCCCTGCCTGCACACAGCCCGGGGCTCCTAAACAACTGCAAGGTTTTATGGTCACAAAATCACACTGACAACACAGTCAGGGGAACAAAACCTACCCCAGCTGCTACTTCTGACTTGCACATGGCCTGAGAGTAAAATAAAACANCCTTAGCAGGCACCTGTCTGTCCAAACTGAGACACTCTGGCAGCAAACAAAAGTGCCCCTGGCACCCCCTGGCAAAGGCTGAGGATGCCCAGGGAGCCCCTGCCAGAACACCTGCAGCTCCCAGGGCAGGCAGAGTACCCAGCAGAGCTCATACATTGCAAGAGAAATGTGCAGAGCTCACCAAACTTAATGCCTCATTTAGGTGCTGAGATGATTTGTTGGCTCCTGGCTCTCTGTGGTGCTTCCCAACTCCTGGAACAAACAGATAATCTCTGTTAGCTGGGCACTAAACTCCCGTTTAACAAAAAAATAATCAGCTGGAACCAAACCCATCACCCCTTGTTATTTTAGAAATCCTGCACAAATGCAGATTCATTCTTCCTGTTACCACACTGAGTGTGGCTGTAGCTCTGGCAGAAGCCAATCCTGGGAAGTTTACCCAGCATGAGCTGTGTTGCTGATTTTGGCAGAGCTGATCCCACAGATGAAATACACAGAGAGGTCTTTGCTGAGTTTTAATTCCACCCCTTCCTCCTTAAGGATAAAAACACCATGTGTCCCTACCTGCAAATCCCAGAATGGAAACACAGAGCACACAAAGCAACCCTGCAAACCAGCACTGTGGAGCCTGACAGAAATTAAGGCAGTCTAGACTAAAATCTGCCCCTAAAAACACCACAGAAACTGCAGCAGCAGTGGGGTCAGATCAGCCATGCTGTACCCAAATCCCTCAGGATTTACAGCAGCTGAGCTGCACCTCAGTGCTGTGCTCAGGTAAGGTCTGGAGGCTGCAGAGTTTTTGCAGAGTTTTGCACTGGCACAGCTGCTTTCTTGGGCTGCTTTTGCTTTTTTTTCATTTGAGCTACTCTAAGCCAGCCTGTGGAGACAACAGCACCTGGGACTGTACCACAGCCTGCTCTTCCTCTGCAGAGATGTACAAGCTTAAATATGCTTGCACAGAGGAGAACAAATTATTTTCCTTGCCCAGTCTCTAGGAAGCCCTAGTGTGGGGACAGGAGGCTCTGTCCCCATCCCTGCCACAGCTGAGGCCTCAAGGCTGTCCCTCAACGCTGCCCAACAGCATTTTGTAACTGGGAGCCTTTTCCTTTGCATTTCTCAAATGTGTGAATAGAAAACAAAGGATGAAGATGGTTAAGAACACCATTAAAACTTCACCCCTCCCTTCTGCAGCTGCTCCCAGTTGAGATCTGGGAATTTCAGGAGGAGAACAAACGGCCCATGAGCACTAAAGCACTAAGAGAGAGGAATACATTACTGAAGAATGAGCCTGCAAATAATCCTCTTCTTCTTCTTCTTCAGAGGATTATTTTGCTACTGCACTTCAGTGTTGGTGTCCTGCAGCTGCACAGAGGTGTTTGTCCACTGGAAAAGGATCAGAAGCAAAGACTGAGGGGGACATTCCTGCCTTGACAGACCAGACAAAGGGTTTCCTGCAATGGCCAAACAATAGTTTTCCTGTGCTCTCCTCTCAAGGAGACCTGTGGTGATCTGGAGAGGTTTTAATTCAAATAAATAAATAAAACCTCCAGATAAAGCAGCAATCTGGTGAAGCACCCCCTTGCATAGAAAGATGTGGTTTGGACCCACAAAGCAGCATTAAGAACAATTCTTTCAGCAAGGATAAGCACACATGGCCATGTTTTACACTGAGCAATCCCTTCCTGAGATGTGCTGACCTTCCCAGCCCCTGCTAAAAGGATAGGGACCTTCTTCCCAAGAATTTCTTCCCAATATCCAATCTAACCCTGCCCTCTGCCAGTTTGAAGCCATTCCCCCTTGTCCCTTCACTACACCCTCCTATAAACAGTCCCTCTCCAACACATAAATCAGATCTCTATTCACCTGGATATTTTCAGTTTAATTGGGAGTAGGTGAAGTCCAAAACCCTGCACCCACTGCAGAGATTTTCCTCATCTATAACCCACTGCTTGTGGAGGGAGGAAAATCCCACACATGCTAAGGAAACTCTGGTGTGAAGTGAACTTCCTTTTTCCACTGTGCTCATCCACGGTCAATGAATAACTCTGAAGTTCACAGTCCAATGCACATGACTCAGGAGTCCACTGGAGACACTTGGAGCTTTTCTTCACCAGGATCTCACAGACAAAATGCCCTGTGTCAGGTCCAGGGACACCACTGCCCTCTCAAACCACGACACAAACACCAGCAGTGCTATTTGTCCAGGCAGACAACAACAAAATTCCTTTGAATGTGTGTGCAGTGTGAAATACTGCATCACCTCAGATTAGGGAAAACTTGGTGAAGGAATTCCTGTGGGGATCTGCCTTGAGGCACACTTTGAGTATCACAGAATCCTGAAATATCCTGAGCTGGAAGGGACCCACAGGGATCATTGATCCCAGCCCCTGTCCCTGCAAAGACACCCCAACAATCCCACCCTGAGCACCCCTGGGAGCTCCTGGATGTGGCACTGGGTGCCAGGGTTTAGTTGAGGCGTTGGGGTTGGGTTGGACTCAATGACCTTGGAGGTCTCTTCCAACCCAGTGATTCTGGGAATTCTGTGAATTCTGGGATTTCGTGAATTCTGGAATTCTGTTGTCCAAACACTCCTGCAGCTCTGGCAGCCTTGGCACCATTCCCTGGGCAGCCTGGGCAGTGCCCAGCAGCCTCGGGGGGCAGAACCTTGCCCTGAGCTCCATGCCAAGGCCTGGCACAGCTGCAGCCCTTGCTGGGCTCCTGTCCCTGTGCCAGAGCAGAGCTCAGCCCCTGCCCCTGTGCCT